GGAGACCCAGGTGACAGACCTCACCCTAGAAGCGCAGGACGTGGTCCAGGTGCTATGGGAGGTGATGGACGAGAACGGAGTGGGGAAGGCGCTGCAGAGGGTGGAGCGACTGTTCGTGCTGCTGGATCCAAGGCGGAAAACGCTGGACGACACACATCTCAGGAACGGCTCCTCGGACCTCAAGACCCAAGTCGAAGCGGACTTGAAGGCGTTCATCGGCAAGTTCGCGCAAGAGTCTGCTCCGTCCACGCCTGCGCCTGCGCCAGTGGTCAACGTCGACACCGCGGACCCTGCTCGCAAGAAGAAGAAGCCTACTTCGAGATTGGAGCAACGGCGCGCTGCACGTTTGGCGGAGGCAGTGGCAGGCGGTGGTGGTGGCAGCGGCACCACCGATCCTCAGGCTGCCGGCACGGGCCGGCGCGTGCTGATCGAGCGAGAGATGCTGGTATACTTGGCAGAGCAGCCTCAGGTCGACGTCGATGACTTCAACCTTCTGGGATTTTGGAACCGGCGGGGCACTGACAGCGTGTCCGCGGCGACTGGGAAGGTTACGTCTCCGGCCGAGATGCCGTACCTGGCGTTTATCGCTCGGTTGCACCTTGGGATCGAGGCCACCAGCTGCCAGGCCGAGCGCAATTTTTCAGCGCTCGCTCACCTCATCGGCGACTTTCGCTGCAACATGCTTTCGCACAGGGTCGAGCGCATGATGCTGGTCCGGCTCAACTAGCACCTGCTTGCCGAGGTTCGCGCGTACGACGCTGCTGTTGCGCGGGCACGAGCTATGGCCGCCAATAGCGCAGAGCAATCCGCGGTTGCACAGGAGGAGAGAGCGAACACGGCGATTGACGTCCCCTTGTAGACTAGGGTAGCCGAGAGTGTAGAGTAGCCCGCGGTCGTGCAAGAGGGGTGCCCCTGCTGAGTGTGGTTGTGGTTTTGCTGTTTTGTTCGGTGTCCGTTCATCGTAGTACAAGTATGTATTTTGTCTTTTCTGTGTTTTTCGTCGTTCATGCTTTCTTGTGGCAGTGACTTGTGTCTTTTGCCTTTTGTCTGGTCTCTTGTCTCGTCTTTTTTCTTAGCTTCTGGTCTTTTGTGTTTTGTCTTCTCCAGCTGGTCTTCTGAAAACCTTTTCTTTTGTGATCTACAAAATCACAATCCATCATCTTCGTTGTGTGCACCAGCGCATGTAGGTGAAATAAGAGAGACGGCTTGCTGTTCGTTCAGCCGCCACAGAAATGTATCATATATCCTGATATGTTAATGTATATCTATAATATAGCTAGGGCCGAAGGCGTTCCCGCCATAATGCGAACCGCCGGTGAAGGGTACAGCCGGATTTTGGTGGTACCGGTACCGCCGAAGGCGTTCCCGCCGTACTGCAAACCGCCGTGGAAAGTACCGCCATATTTCGCGGGTACCGGATCCGCCAAAGGCGTTCCCGCCGTACTGCGAACCGCCGTGCAAACTACCGCCATATTTCGCGGGTACCGGATCCGCCAAAGGCGTTCCCGCCGAACTGCGAACCGCCGTGGAAAGTACCGCCATAATTCACGGGTACCGGATCCGCCAAAGGCGTTCCCGCCGAAAAAACGAAAACCGCTTCCCGCCTAAAAATTCCCGCCATATTTCGGTACCGCCTACAATGGTACCGCCTACAAAAACGGTACCGCCGTGTACCCTGGAAAAAATGATGTCATGACAAAATCGAAAATCCAGTACAACCTTGCGAACCATTTGCTCCTCCTGCATCCATGCACCTAGAGCTCACCCATCTCTACGCCTACACACCCAAGACTCGCTACGCCCAGAGAGCCACATACCACACCACCAGTGTCCTGGTGATCTTACACAATACCGGCCATCCACTGTGCAGTGTCGCTGTTGGCTGAGCCCGCGTATCTGTCTCGACGTTGCCCGTTGGCCCGTTGGTGCATAAGCAAACTTTGCTGGCCACTTCCGGCCAGGGGACACGAACTTTCTGTCCCCCCCCGGGGACAAAACGGGGATTTGCCCATATCTTGCCCATTTTATGCGCTTTGTATACCGCTATTCCGGTAGAAGAAACCCTACAGTTTTTGCATATTCTGCTGGCCCCTTCCCACCAGGGGCCACGAA